AGGGGATGAAGATAACATGGGCCAAACAAAGAGAGGAGAGGTGAGTGTGAGATCCAGCGAGTGCAGTGATGCAGGCCGATTGAAATGCAGCGAGACAGAGACGCAGGAAGACGGGGGTTAATGATGAACGCATTGTCCAGATAGCCAGTGTGTGCTGTCACAGACCTCGGTGGAGCTTACATATGTTAGCACCAGCAGCCCTACCCACTCTGGAGAAAAACTCCTCTCACACACACACACTGCAGTGAAACAACCTGCCAGCCCAAGGCAACCTGCACAGGAGCTGGGCGGACCCTCACTCACAAGCCAGACCTTTGAAATGTTGGCCACTGCGTCTGCTTGGAGACATTGTGTCTTGCAGTGAATTTTTTCTGCCTCCACTGGCTGTATCCCCAGTGTTAGAAAATGTGTAACAGCTTTGCAAAAACAGCATCTTTCTGAGATCACTCTTCTGTTATCCATTTGTGATCACTCCTGTAGACATGGAAAACATTGTGCTCCCAAACAGAAACACAATGGCTTCTTACATCCCGGAAAAAACTGACTCATCTGCCCTCAGGTTATATTTTGGTGACACTGGGGTCAAAGGGGACTCTTGACCTTTGATCCTTAAAGCTGTTAAAGGTGGGTTCAAATAGACCAATTTCTAAAAACAGATTCATGCACTTCTGGTTTGGTCTCATGCTATTTATGAAAAAGAAGCATAAAACTGCCAAATAGCATTAAAAAGAAACATCTAACTTAGACATTCAAGCCTCTGTGTGCTGTTATTAACATTTACAAATATGCCCATAACAACAGGCTCAAAAGAAATGCACTCTCAAACCATTCTTATACTGTGGTCTTCTGGTTGCTTCACATGGTGATCATAGTCAGAGGTAATGTGTACACAAAATTCTGTTAATCTTTAGCCTGATTTCAAAAAAAGTCACAGCAGTTCCAGTAAGCACACTGATAAAGTGTGTCTGCGGCAGTGATATTTCATCAGGGCTTCTTTTCACGCCATCACATGATGTGGAATTGATTGTTGCCATTGAAGATTGTGCTCGAGGCCACTTGCACTGTTCAATTTGAATGGTTCCCATCTTTTAATCAGAGCAGTACATTTACAGTTACATAAGCTCTATAAGAAGAAGAAGAAGAAGCTTTATTTTATTGTCATTATAACATTGTGACGCATACAACCAAATTTTGTTTGGAGCTGAGGGCCCCGGGTTGCTGCATGCATACATGCCACCAGGCAACTATAACTTAGATTTTATATGGTAGCTTGTTCCCTGTGAATTTGGGCTTAATGATACCAAATTGCAGCAATGGCTAATCAACTGAGAAATCTCATACAATATTAAATTTCCTATCAAAAAAAAAAAACTGGAATGAGTCTATCTTAATCCATAATGCAGGATACTAAGAAAAGCTTCATTGTCAGTATCACATTTAAGATACATTGCAAGAATATTTATTGACACTGTGCTAACCTGTCCTTCATTTAATATGTTCTCATCCCAATACAGATATTGATGAATGTCCAGTCCTACCTTTGTGTAGTTAATGCCTTATCAGTGGCTCTGCAAGGCTGTACTTAGGCTAAACACATCACACTGCTTGAAGGTAAATGCTAATGTCAGCATGCTAGTGTGGGTCTTTGGTTCTTCTTACCATTGCTAACTCTGAGAG